ATTGTAACATATATATATATATATATATAATAGGGTGTCCGAGATAAGTTTTGACAAAGCTCATATGTACATAGGGCGGATTAAATTAACGACCAGACTACACGGTTCTTCGGGTTATAATGAATTTTGTAATATAGCTAGATTATCTCTAGATATGACTCCTAATAAAGTAATGCATAGGCCCTTGTTGATTGTACAGAGGGTCTCAAAAGTTGCACCTTTGGCAGAGCTTTTTCAGTGACGAATCTTTTATAAACACAATTGTGCACTTCTGACATCGCCGTTGCACCGAAGTGTTGCATCTGCTGTGTATAGAAGTACTGCAAACATTCAATTCAAAGTAAAATCATAAAAAACACTTTAATTAAAAGTTAATAAGGTAATTATTCCAAAAAATTATTGTATTTATTCTAAAAAATTCTTACAAGTCGCAAAATGAAAATTGTCGTCATTAAAATGATGATGAAAACATGAAAGGAGATTGCAGTAAATTGACTATAGATCGCATATCATACGATCCTTGTTGATATATCATGCACAGTAAGAATTTGAGAATTGCTCTAAATGGAATATGAAAAATGAAAACAAAAACACAATAACAGATTAGGATAAACAGATATTGTTGACGTCGAAACTAGTACTCTACTAAACTAATTTCGATGGATTCGATTTAAAACCGAAAAAAGCAATTCTTGCGCTTCGACCGAACAATTCTTTGTACCAACAATGCTTTATGTAATGTAGAAATCTCACTATTTTTTGTTATATGTCATATTACTGACGATAACTCTAAACGTGGGTCGAAATGTTTATATTATTTATTGAGTATATTATATTATATAATAAATCATTATCGCAACAATAACTTGCGTCGGCTCTCATAGGTTTTTCAATCATTATAGATAAAGTATAAATGTTATTATACAATAATAAAAAGGACAACCGGAATGAACATCAAATGCGTTTCTGCCATGCTTGGTTCCTGAACTACCTGAAAACGAGGGCTGAGTACAATGCATCGCATGCTCATTTTGCGTACAAACTGTGTTTGTTTGTATTTTAGAAACATTAAATAAAGTTTAATTGCAATACTGATGTACTTTGTGTTTTATTGTGGATTTTTTGGGGCAATTTATAAGAAATGAAATATACACTGCGGTTTGTTCAGACTCGATGTTCTTTTTATTACATCATCTTTTATTTTTCTATAAAAACAAACTCGTCTCTACCAACGTGGATTGGATTCTGAGTCTCATATAGTGTGGATTCTCAACGTACGTGATCAGTGTCACGTCTTATACACTTCACTATATATAGGTAGATTTATTATGCGAAGATTTTTAACAGTACCCAGAAAACACATAATATAACTATCATATAAATAGCTATAAAAAACATGTATATTATATGAGTTAAATATAGGTATTATACATATCTATGACTACGTTTACACAGCCCGATTTACGCTGAAGTTATACATCGATGTTATGGAACTAACCAATCATAGCTATTCTTCTGAAGAATGAAATGACTGTGATTGGTCAATTTCGTAACATCGATGTTATAACTTCGGGATAAATCGAACCGTGTAAACCTAGTCAATGTTTTGCTGGGACATGATATAATCACATTATAAGCTATAAAAGAGAGAGGCCCAGGAAACGAAAATGCCAATTATCTGCATTCGATCTTGCTTTCGTTATTTTGCCTTCTGTAGTGGCGAATAATTTTGTTCAATTTGCTCCGAGCGATGTTGATGTCGACATATACATTGCATGCACACATAACGGACTTATTCGGAATACCGAGTGGTTATATACTCGAAAAATTCAAATTCGCATAAATGTTTCGACGTTTCGTTAATAAATCTGTCACTTCATATTTTTTGTTCATTTGTATTTTTTTTCTTATTAATTTTAGATTCAACACAACATGTTTCTTAATTATAAAAGCGGCTCAGCATGCCATTCTTGAAAATGGATCGAGCCACTCGGCAAACTTGTTCGGGATACAAAGACGAGTATATTCGAAAAAAAGAATAAAACTCTCTTCAAAAAGTCTCTGATGTCAGCGATGTATTCGATCATGCCTTGCCTGGACATTCTCGATAAAATGAGACGATCGATCGGCCATGAAACGAATGAACTTTTGCTCTTTTCTTTATCGAGTCGGAATGGAAGTTCAGAAAATAACTGATGAACTTCAGCCAGAACGTTCAACTTCGTCACGTACGCAATGTTGCTCAAGAAAACCGGCTCTAGCGTACATTAACATGCAGGTCGTTTTATTTCTTCTTCTTCTCTTCCCTCTTTTGATCTTTTCTTCTTTTATGACTTTTCATACCGTAATATCGCCAGTGCTTTTTCTCCTCTTCCCTTTCCTGTTCTCATCTCTGAAAACGGAAATAGATTTGTTGTTTGTTTATTTTGCGTATCATATTATATTAGTTACCTGTCAATGTAGACTTGGGTCATTGCATTCTTGTCTATCAAAATTTTAATACAATGATATGCAAAGATGTATCGTATCATACACGAAAAGAATAAAATGTTTTATTGAATTCTAATCTAAAAATTTAGCTAGATCTGAAAATAATTTTGTTTCAATAAAGCTTGATAAAAATGAATGTTTCAATAAAGCTTGGATAATGCCTGCTTTAATAAACCATTATGTATAAATCCTAAATTTCATTGCTCATAACATATATACTTAACTCAAATTAATTTTAGTTACTTCAACAATGGATTCTCAATAAACAGAAATCAATTGGTGAAAATGGCCACATTCAGGAATTAGGCAAAAGTTGGCAAGAAAAAGTACAATAAAGGTCGTATAATTGAAGGACAATGGGTTTTTGATGGTATTGAATGTAATACCAAAAATATTTTCATCCTACCTGTACCAAATCGATCCAGTAACACTCTTATCAATTATACGAAAATGTGTCCTGCCTAGTTCAATAATTTATATGGATCAGTGCATATAAGAACCTTGATAATGATAACAATTACACTCATTGTACTGTAAATCATTCAGTAAATTTTGTGAATCCTGATACTGGTGACCATACTCAAAATATAGAGAGAGTATGGCGGGACATGCGAGCAAGTATATTGAATAAAATTGTGCCGAAATAAGACATTATTCTTTCAAACTTTTTAACGAAGGATGAACGATGACTAAAACTTGTTGGAGGTTACTCAGGATCATAACTTTGACATATGTCAAAGATCATTGAAACTTGATCCTCAAATCGATCCTTTTACCGATGGACATTCTACAGTTTAATTATTTTTTTCATTCGATTCTGGTTTCAGTTGCGGCCCAATATTAGTTTCCATTCATAAAATTTCATACGAAATTCATACGAAATTTCTTATAATTTATACAGAGTCATAGAAATCTGAGAGTGTCATTCACCCGTGATTACCTTATCGTTTAAACTTCAAACCATCCAGCGATATAAAGACGCTCGTTATATCGCCATATTGTGTTTGCGATCGAAATTCATCTTTATCTCGTTTTAATTGCTATGAATGGCAAGAAACAACCTTGACATAAAAGATAAAGTTTATTACTGTAACTTTACGCCAATATTTTTCGGTCCATTATCGTTCAGCGATTAAATATGAAAGGGTGACATACGTACTATACTGAAGTCCCACGAATGCTAAGCTTTAATTTAAATGTCAATATCTGCTGCAAACTACCGGTTGTTAATGGCAAACTGCGAATTTTTAAACAGGTTTCTTGAATGCTATTAAACGTTATTATTGTTTATTGAAATTAATATTCATGCTTCTTCTACGTATACACATCGATTTAAGGATGTATCTGAGCTATTCCAAAAATAGTACAAAATTGATGAAACTTCGGGAAACTTTTCCTTTTCAGTTATCTGTAATATACTAAAAAAAATTTCAAGTAGATTCACTAAACCGTTAGAGAGTAATTATTATTTAAATTATGATGATTATAAACTAGTATTTAATACTAGTACTGGCCAATTAATAACTTATTTTAAGTATTAAAAATATTATCAATAGTATATTTAATACTGAAAGTGATTAATTGGCCAGTATTAAGTTCTATAACAGACGTTTTCTTACGGGAAACGTAACTTTGTCGAATGTAATTAGTAATAGAAGTATTGAAGAAATTAAACCAAAAAAATTTAATTTTTTTATACGTATAGATCCTAAATTACTGGAATTTTTTGCAAAATTAGATTAATTTTCAACAACACGGTTTTAGAGAAATTATTATTCATAACAATTTTGCGGTATGTATGACTTAATATGGCATATTCTGCCATATTCTGCTATAATAATATATTTATATTGTTTAAATAATGCATATATTTATCTTTTTTAACCATATTCCAATTACTTTTTCTATTTTGCACTAGTAAATAATGTTTTGTTATAGAAAATTGAAAAATGATAAATAAAGTTAATAAAATATTGAAAAGTGAAAAATAATTTTTTAAAAATAAATATATTATATTATCTAAACATTTATAAGTTATCGATATACCATATATAGAAAGTTATTATTAGATTTATTACACGTTTGGCGCAGTTATGCAAATATTTCGAATTTGGGGGACTTTTATCAACAATTGTATCTCAGATACATCCTTAATACATATTCTAAAATCTGCGTTATCCGGGATCACCAATGAAATAAACAAAATATGTATATAGATTTATGATAAGTAATTAATCATAGGTAATATTCAAGTCATCAAATTTTTCATTAACATATGAGAAGACTATAATAACTCTTCAACATTTGTATATAAAATACATTTCTTTTTCTCAATTTTCATCATGTTCATTTTACTAGTTATTTCAGCAAGCGAATTGTTACTCCTCAGCGAATTCCAATTTCCATGACCACCGTTCTATTATCATAAATACCTTATAAAATTTAATCAATACAATGAATAAATAAAATCTTTCATAAAAAATTGTTTTATGAAAAAAACGTTAGTTTTTGTCATTCAATGCTGATTCTTGCAAATAGACATTCACATGAAATCGAAAATATATCGTTTCGATAAAAATAAAGGAATTTATTCATGTAAAACGTATAAACGCGCGCATATTTATGTCACCGCATACATATACATTACAGAGATATAACATTTTATTATTTAATAAATTTTCAATTGTAGCACAACACTGCATTTTTTTGTACTCTGCATTTTTACGCTTTCTGCGCATAAACTCACGTTTCGGACAAAGAAAGAGAACGGTAAAAAAAATTCTGAAAGTATTAAGAATTAAAAGGAAAATAAAGCTTATAATGATTAATACTTAGTAATTAGTACAGTAATGTTCAATCTTCTATAAAAATCATTTTTAGAGAGCTATTTTCAGGAATGTAAAATCTTGTGGACCGCATGTTTATTTTATTTGCAATATAATGTATGATTTTATATTTTCGATTATGACGTGGCAGGCTGCCAAAAATCACAGGCGGGTCACAGGATGCACATCATTTGCTCTAGTAAATAATTTATTAATAACTTAAAAAAGTAAAGAAAGGAATATAATATGATTGCTATAAAATAGGAACAAATATATTTTTCATTAGTGAACTCATAAAAAAATGTGTTGTGGTTTCATATCATATAAAAATATTAAAATATATCAAAAGAAATTGGAAAGAATAAAGGCAATAGGGGTCAGGCGCAGAAGATATCGCGCAAATAATACACTCATAAAGCGTAAAACTTCTTTATTCTACTAAATGCGCTTACATGTTTCGGCTCACTTTTGAGCCTTCTTCAGAGACAACAAACTAACATATATAAACTGTGAATAAAAGTTATATTGTCATGGTGAGCTTCCCTACGAGAATATAAATGCCAGAAATTAAATCCAAATAAGAATGAAAGAAAAAAAAGAAAGGAAATATTGGAAATATCGAAATAGAGAATATGGAAAACTAATTTATCAAAAAATTTTAAGATTATAATTATCCCGAAAATAAGGACGCTTATTTTGGGGATAATTAATTATAATCTTAAAGTTTTTATATGTTAGTTTATATATGTTAGTTTGTGTTGTTTCTGAAGAAGGCTCAAAAGTGAACCAAAACATGTAAGCGCGTTTAGTAGAATAAAGAAGTTTTACGCTCTATGGGTGTATTATTTGCGCGACGTCTTCTGCGCCTGACTCCTATTATCTTTATTCTTTCCAATTTCTTTTGATTTATAAGAAGTCTTTGTTAGTTTGATTTGTTATACGGATTAAAATATATAAATTAAAATATCAGTTGCTTAATATTTGATGTTTTATAACTATAAAATAAATTGAGGAATTGAAGATACAACAGTGTAAATTAAATCTTTTTTTAAGTGTTACATCTCAGTATTATAATTAACCAAAGATAAAATTCATACATCTTGTTTTTTTATACTTGTATATACATACCATTTATTATAACTTTATAACATGCTCATATTTTCTTCAAAACTGTTCATGTTTTCATTATATCCAATTCCTCAATTTTTAATTGTATAATATTTAGTTCTGTATTTTATTTATCTGTATTTTGTACTTCCATTTTTATAACGTATGGTTGCACATAACTGAAGAGGACTAGCAACTGTTGGCGTAAAATACTACCTTAATTAATTACGTGGATTAAGAATAAATTTGTAAATTATATGTAACATAAATGCTATTAATGATAATGCTGTAAATGATATTTTAAAACAAAATAATTAACAAATATGTTTTCTTAATAGTAAACAATAACGCAAAGTTGTCATTGAAGTTGTCTAGCAATCCTATCTCGTAATCCGATCTGAAAAGGAATAATTTTCAAATGTTGATATATGATTAAATCAAAAATACACTTTTAAAAAATATTAAATATGTACTGTTAAAATATCTTGTCCCTTAATATATCCATGATTTAGAATATAAATATTATGTGTACATATTTAAGATTATTTTTTAATTACTACATTTTCCAGATTGCATATAATGGAACAGCTAGATATTACGTTATTCCAATTGTATATAATCAATCTAGAATTAAATTGCATTTGCATTATTTGGCTACTCACTAAATAATATATACAACCTTTTACACATTTAAAATCATTTCTAGCAAATAGTATTCATATTTTAAATCACAGATATGCACATTTTTCTACTATATATGTACCACTGCATTTTGAATATCTTCATGAGGACCTTTGCTTTTAGGCGGTAGCTTTGGTAAAAGTGCATCAACATTTATATCGACATGAGGATCTTTCTCTTTAATCTGCTTCATAGTTTCTTGACATACTTTGATTACTCCTTCAGCATTCAGGCGACGATCATCGCTCCACAGTGGGCAACTATATTTAAAGAAAATGTAAGATAATTTTGATTTAATTAAACAATAACATTAAATTGCCTATTATTAAAACTCACAGATTTGAACGTTCTGCTCCTTGACCTTGAAAGTGCTTGTAATCGGTAACTGGTTTATCACAAATGTAACACATTTGGGCGCCACAGACACAAGTCATTTTGTTACAACCTTCTTCTTTGAAGAACATTCGACTACAACGGTAGCATTTCCGTACCAAAGCTTGAGTCATCTTCTCTTCCAAATATAAACGTGCAGATTCTGACTTCTTTTCGTTGCATTTCAATGGTATGTGATTAAGTTCCTTGCATAATCTAATACCAAAACAATTTATTAATGTAACAATTTTAGTAATGCACAATTACGCATTTATTTCTAAATATTTTATTTAAAAATATCAATACTTTGAAATACAATATATGATATTATGGAATATTTCTTCACAAATTCATATTAAAACAAAGACAACATTCTACACAAAATATAAGAAGTATTTTGTATATTTTAAACTATTCCAAATCGTGTAATTTTATTCAACCAGACCGAATTTTAATGATAATAAGATTTGATGAAATTAAAATTGCAATAATAAAATTACACTTACCGGCAAGATTCTTTCATGCATTCCGGATTAAGGCATTTGAAAATCTTATCTTCGGGTGGTGGTATAGATGCAAAATGACAAAAGGGACAAGATACTAAACCATCAACTCCAGCAGCTATTACTTCTGCTTCTTGTCGCTTACAAAGCAGAATACTAAATTTAGTTGGCGGTAATACTTCTTGAAGTACAGATAATGGAAATTCACAACCACACTGCAACAAGCAATCAACGCGCGTATTGCCATCTCCTAATACCACGTCTGTACTCCGTACAATACATGAATTGCAAAATATATGACCATCCTCACACGTGGAACACTTTGATGGCATACATTCGTCATCATAACAACATTGACATTCTAACAATTCATTTTTTGCCTAAAAAAAGAAATTAACGAAAAATAACAATGGATCTAAAATATAGTTTTGGTTTCTATATTAAAGCATTTCATACTTTAAGTTTATTAAATTCTTGCTCTTCTTTTGTTTTTACTTCATCTAGATATTTTTTAAGCTCTGCTTTATGTTGTACAAAAGCACACTCTTGAAGAAACGGTATATCTTCTGTTAGAGTCATCTTGTTACAATATCGTTTAGTTTTCATATCAGGATTTAACGCCTCTAGAGCTTTTGCAGTTAAACTTAAATTATTCATATATTGACTATATGCCTTCACTAAAGTGTTTACCTGTAAAAAAGATGACACACTTTACATATATCATCGTTATATATTTAACTACACATTATTTTATACTGAGATATTAAATAGCTTAGCGATAATGCAGTGTCATTAAAAGATTTGAATTTATTAGTCTGCTACTTTACATATATATAAAAAATTTTAAGTAGGTTAGTGTAATTTCATTATGATAAAAATAATCAAAATCATGAATATAAATAAATCTGACGTAACTTAATAATATATCAAGCTATTGGGTTTCTCGTAAAGAACAGAAATAACAATAACACACTCAAAACTTTAAACCATGATACTGTGATCCAACACCGTCAAAAATTCATTTAAAAAATTATAATTATGCACTAAAAAAATATCTTAATTGTATCTTAAATTAAGCATACCCTCATTTTACTGAAGTAATATTTGAGAAAATCTACTGCGTGCGGATTGAATTCGCATTTCCTCTTATCATCTTCGAAGTATGCAAATGGATCTGGAAATATCTCTAAGAATTGTTTTACTTGGAAATCCGTAGTATACTGCTCTTGTTGTTGAGTAATCTTTTTTTTAGCCAAATATTGCGATCGCGTTGGATAATCAGGGTTTTCTAATTTTGACTGAACAAATTGCTTTATCCGTTCGGGATCACTATATATTTCCTCAGCTACTTTTCTTAAATATACGGGATCTGCTTCAGGAAATATCATCAGCAAATCTGCATATTGTTCGTTCATATCATAAGGTTTCAAAGTTGTCGCCTGTGACTCTAATGGCTTCGCTTGTTGAACCGATAAACTTTTTTGGTCACAGTTGAGTAGCATCTCAACTAAAGTAGCAACTAATGTTGCTTCATCTCTCCCATCATCTTTCACATGATCATAGCATAATTTCTTAATAAAACTAATTTTTATAGTTGGAAACATGGGTATTAATTTGACATATATTTTATTAGCTTTCTCACTTAATACTATTTCTTTTTGCTCAGCATTGTTTGCTACTTCTTCCGGCTTGTCCTTGGATGCATATATTTTTAATTTTTTATTTCCCATTGCATCTTTTTTATCCAGTTGCTCTACTTTCCAATTAATTTTATTTGGATCGTACATCGCAATGGGTTTTGTTTGAGTTAGTATCGGTGATTGCTGCTAAAAAAGAAAATAATTAATTAATGTATCTTTATTCTTATCTCTATATGAAAGAAATTCACGAAAGCAAAAGTAAAGTGAAAATTCAAACCTTTGTACCTTTCTAATCATTATAATACCTAACTCATGCCTTTTATAATTTTAAAATATAGAATTGGAAGAGACTATTGATTAAGATTAATATATATGTACGTAGAAAAATTTTTACAAAAATTTTTATGAAAATCAATGGTAAACACAATTACAGTCGGCACCTCTTCAGTTTTCAATCGGAGAGCTGAAAAACTCAGGCTTTTTGAAGAATCTCCAGCTCTCCGGCAGAAGGAAAAAGTTCCGGTTAATCGCTTTGATGACTTTTTTAAGAACACTATAAAAAAGGATAGTAATTTGAAGCCAGGATCTCACAATCAGTGAGAAGAACTATCGAGCTCTACCAGAACATTACTCGAAAAGTGACAACTGTGAAAACAATATATAAAGACTAGATAAGAATGTACGAGAAAAAAATCATAACACAAGAAAGTAAATATTATCCTCATGAACACCCATGGCTGAGCAGTATGTCTAAAAATGTAACAGTAAATGCAAAGTATTTCTTACTATAACTGCATCTAAAATATTTTTTGAAAAATCTCAATACTCATTCTCGTTTCTTGAAAATTAATGAAAATGAAACGCACACGCAATATAGTCGCGGTTTCTAATATTAAGTAAATTTAACCTATAAAATGTATTTAGGAATTTTTCAAAATATTTTAGATGCAGTTACAGCAGGACACACGTTTTTACCTGTATACTTCCTTTATCGTAAATCTGAGATGTAGTCATATTGCTATCGTTTGCTTTTTGGAGGTGTGAGGTACTTTGAGCAGGAACTGCTGAAGTCGATGAACTATTTAATGTTGCAGATACTACTAGTGTCTTTGTGGTATGAACGTTAACTACTTTAGTACCGTCTTTTTCTGTAATTTTTGATACATATGGTTCTATTTTTATTCGATTAATAGATTGGCACATTGAGTGTGGCAGAGGTACAGCACGCATATCAGATGCTCTTTTGTCATTTGATGACGTGCCTGGTAACGTAGAATTCGGTGCAAATAGACTTGAATTTAGATGAGATACACGAACGGTCGGTTCATTCTGCTTTATTAAATTAGAACAGGTAGTAAATCTTCCTATTGGATATTGGCTTATGGATGATTTTGAATTTGGACGAACAATTGTTGATTCATTTAGATTTGGACGAAGAATTATTGGTTTATCCTGTTTCACTTGCATTATATTAGGTCCTGTCCTTTTAAGTCTATTAGGTATTATAGGTACAGAGCATATAGGTATAGAAACACCTATTGGTGACATTGTAGATATCGTACTTTTAGTAAGAACTTTTAATTTTGGCGGTGATAAAACAGGAGTTGTCGGTTTATGGAACTTTTCATCTTTTTGTGTCGTGAAATTACTTCGAAGCATTAACTTTGCTGGTGCCACAACTGTATGAATTTTATAGAGTTCCAAATGCCTATCAGATTCATACGTACATCTAACTTCTGAATTCTTAGTCGAATGCGATTCCTTGGTCTCTGAACCGACTTCTGGTGATGCAAATATCTTTGAATGTGGAACAATCATGTTAATGTTGCTAGTACTGCTGGCGTCTTTAACAGATGTAGTAGATCCATCCGATTTATGCTCTAACTTCTTTTTTTTCAAAGGTATCATGGTTTGATTGGTATCATTCGTATTATTCGAAGCTGTTACTTCTGACACATTCTTTTTCGTTTCATCATTCTCAGTTGTTGATGATGCAAATGTTATATTTTTTGATTTTCTGTTACTAGCAATTACCTCATTTTTCGCACATGTCTGCTCTTTTTTTTCCGAAGTATTCGTATCTACATGATTTTCTTGTAGAGAAATATGGGAATTTTTTTTACGTTCTATAAAACTTGTCTCATCTGAACATTTTTGTCTCTTTAAATATTGTGGTAGCGGTCTTTCCTTTGGTAATAAGTCCCACAATGTAAGCTCAATACGATTTCTTGCAAATTTATTACTACTAAGCATTTTATAAATCAAACGGTAACTGTATCTAGGTAGAAGGGCATGTATTAATTTTGCATCTTTTAGTAATTCATCCATATTGGACATATAGAAATCTTCCATCTCTAGGAATGTATCTTCAGAATCTTTACTGCACCCTGGTTTTGGACTATTTAATCGTTTTTTCTTTATGTATAAAACATCATTATTATTTTCCTCAACGACTTCTTCTTTAGGCCTATTTTGGACCTTATTGTTAACATCTGTAGCTTGTCTGTCATTGCCAGTACTTAGAATATTAATTTTGTTTGCCAACGATGTATTATCATTATTATGAGTCAGCTGGGAAGTAGAACATGAAGATATATCAATAGTTTTATTTACAGTATTGATAATTGAAATATCATTGTAAATATCATCATCAGAATTCTCAAAAGAATTCTCAAAAGAATTTCCAGAAGAGTTCTCAAAATTCTTATAAGAATCATCAGAATCGGTATCAGAATCAGATGAGACATCAATTATTTCAGCACTTGGGTGTTTCCTAGAAAAATTCAGTGCTTTAGGTTGTTTAAAAACTTTGTCAGCATTATGCTGCATCTCTGATAGATCTTCCGTAGAGGTGGATGGTTTTGGTGATAGTGGTAGATCTGTACTTATGTCCATAGAAATTGGCATTTCTTTATACATTTTATCAGCATTATGGCATTTACTGTAGTGCACTGACTGAATTTCCATGAATGATTCTGGACCATCAGTATTACGTATTTCTGATTGAATTTCCATGGTAAATGATTCGGGATTATCAGCAGTATGGCACATCTCGGATTGAACTTTCATGATAGATGATCCCGAGTTGCCAACCACTTCGGCATTTATACATTCTGGAAAATTCGACGTTCCAGATTGTTCAGAAATGTTATCAGTACTAACGGACATCTTTGATTGAATTTTCAAAGTGGATGGTTTTGAGTTATCAAATATTTCTGCTGAATTTATACATTCCACGAGAGAATTCAGAGTTTCAAGTTGTTCAGAAACTTTATCAGCGTTATGGCTTATTTCCGATTGAGTTTCCATGGTGGATGGTCCAGGATTGTTAAGCACTTTGGCACTTACACACTCCACAAAAGTATGTGGCACTTCCGGTCGTTCAGAAACGCAATCAGTACCATGACATATCTCTGATGGAATTTCCTCTGTGGGCGGTCCTGGATTGTTCGAACGGTTTTGAATATTATTGTTTTCTTTATTCAAAATAATGTCCACCATGGAATGAAAGGCATCCATATCATATATCGTGTTTTCTAAAGGATTCTGTTCTTCTATTGATAAACGTTGTCTTTGTATGAAAGATAGATTATCAAAGACATCTTTGTCCATAATTTTGCACAATCCTGTAAGATTGAATAACAAACATTATAAAATTGAAGTTGTAGAAATAATATTTTCTTAGAAAATATTCTACAAATTATAGAGAATGAATATATATCTAGTAATAGATAAGAGTAGTGTAAAAATCAAGCTTTACAAACATGTGTGCGACAAAGCTAACGAGGCGAAAATTGACAGAAAGATGATGAGATAATGTGAAGGTTACTTAACAGTTTGTTGACGTTTTGTTTGCAACTGCAACAGATTTACAGCACCTCAACACTTCAACTGCACGACTAATTTCAAGAAGTATAACGAATGGACCGACGAAGCTACTTAAGTACATACACCTTTCGAATAGAGATAATAAAGATATCCTCTCCTATTTTAGAACTACTGTTGTCTATCTGTTTTCTGTTCCTGTACTAAACTGCACTAGAACTTTAGGTCTGTTCTTTTTAGCTAAAGTTCTTGCACTTTTCTCTTTTTCTTTCCAACATGGAGGGAAAAGGAAGAAAGATGAACTGTGCATGAAGTTCAGCTAAAAAAATAACTTCTATTTGTCGTTTTTTAATATCAAGCATATCTCACTTTAAATTCCAAAAGTGTACAGTTGTGGACAGAACGGTTGCAACATTTTAGGCCTGTTCTTTTTAGCTGAGCTTTTGCAACAGTTCATCTTTTTTCCTTTTCTTTCCAGGAGGAAAGAAGAGGAAGAAAGATGAACTAGTGCAAAAGTTCAACCAAAAAGAACAGGCCTTTTTTTTCAATGGGTTTCGGAATGCAGCCTGCTCAACGAGCGATTGGTTCTTACTTATAGACTACGTTTACACGGCTCAATTTACGCCGAAGTTATAACATCGATGTTACGAAATTGGCCAATCACAGTCATTCCATTCTTCAGAAGAATAGCTATGATTGGCTAGTTCCATAACATCGATGTTATAACTTCGGCGTAAATCAGGCCGTGTAAACGTAGTCATAGATAAATAAGTAAGAACCAATCGCTTGGTGAATAGGTTGCATTCCGAACAATAGGTTTGTCGCGTAGCAAACTTCAACATGCTCCAACATGCTCCTACCAGTCCTACCATAGCCTCCTACTCACTCTATCAAGCGCGTTGGAGTGAATAAGAGCCGGTTGTCCCACCGGTCCCACCTTTTGGTAAATTTTACCTGTTAGGTAAATCTGGCAATCTGCGTATGTGGTCGGCCCTTAATCTTATGCTGGATCCACACTACATCCGAT